GATTATTCTCATTGGAGCAGAGAAGGTTACGAGGAGACCTAATAGAGGTCTTCAAAATCATGAGGGGATTTGATAGGTTAGAGAGGGAAAAAAGGTTGGCAGGGGCTTAGGAGGTCGCAGAATCAGGGGGAGCAAGGGAGGGGGCGAGGTGGAGGGACTGTGGGATGGAATTCCAGTGGGTGTGGTGAGAGTGCTGAAGGCCCGACCGCTAATGGTGGGGAGGACGAGGCGGCCAATGTGAAGCAGGCCAGAGCCTGCTGAGCGTTGGGATTGGGCAGGTTGGTAGGGGGTGAGGAGGTCGCAGAGGTAGGGGGATCAAAGCCATGAAGGGCTTTGGATCTTGAACTGTATCCTCTGTATGATGGGAAGCCAGTGGAGTCAGGCGAGGATGGGCGTGATAGGGTTACAGAATCATAGAATCGTACAACACAAAAAGAGGCCATTCAGCCCATCGAGTTTGTGCGGCTCTTTGAGAAGAACAATGTAATGTCAGTCCCACTCCCCCGGCCCTTTCCCCCTAACCCGCAGACCCGTCCTCCTCAAATACCCGTCCACCGCATTTTTAAAAGCAGTTATCGATTCGGCCTCGACCGCCCTTTCAGGCAATGCGTTCCAGATTCGAAGAACTCGCTGCGTGAAAAAATTTCTTCTCACCTCCCCTCGGCTTCTTTTAGAGACTATTTTGGATCTGTGACCTCGAGTCACCGACACACCCACCAGTGGAAAGTTTTTCCCTTTCTAACCTATCAAATCCCCTCATGGCAATGGCAGACATTCAAGGAGATAGTGCAAAATTCCCAACGAGCACATATTCCTTTGAGGAATAAGAATGCCATGGGAAAGGTGGTGCAGCCGTGGCTAACTAGAGCAGTTAGGGAAAATATCAAATCAAAAGAAAAAGCCTATAAAACAGCGAAGATGAGTAGTAAACCCGAGGATTGGGAGAACTTTAGGGAACAACAGAGGAGGACCAAAAAATTGATCAAGAGGGAGAAAATAGATTACGAGGGCAAACTAGCAAAGAACATAAAAACAGACTCCAAGAGTTTTTACAAATATATAAAGAGGAAAAGGCTAGTGAGGGTGAATGTGGGTCCATTACAGGCAGAGACCGGAGGAATTATAATAGGGGACAAAGACATGGCAGAGTCATTAAACAAGTATTTTTCTACAGTCTTCACCGTAGAAGACACTGGAAACATACCAAAAATAGAGGACCAAGAAGACAATGTTAGCGAGCAACTTAGGGAGATTAACATTAGTAAAGAGATGGTTCTAGGTAAATTGTCGGGTCTTAAAACCGATAAATCCCCTGGACCGGATGGCCTGCATCCGAGAGTTTTAAAGGAGGTGGCTACTGAGATAGTGGATGGCATGTCTATAATCTTCCAAAAGTCTGTGGATACTGGAAAAGTTCCCATTGATTGGAAGATTGCAAACGTAACCCCACTATTTAAGAAGGGTGGGAGAGAAAATAGGGAAAACTATAGACCAGTTAGTTTGATGTCAGTTGTAGAGTCCTTAATAAAAGACGTAGTTATGGGATACCTGGAAGACCATAAAAAGATTAGGCAGAGTCAACATGGCTTTACAAAAGGGAAGTCATGCTTGACTAACCTTTTAGAATATTTTGAGGATGTATCCAGCAGGTTGGATAAGGGGGAACCAGTAGATGTGGTATATTTGGATTTTAGGAAGGCATTTGACAAGGTGACATGGGATTAATGTGAAAATATTAACATGGATAGAAGAGTGGCTATCGGGTAGAAAGCAGAAAGTAGTGATAAACGGATCATTCTCGAATTGGCAGGAGATGTAACTAGTGGAGTGCCACAAGGATCAGTGCTTCGGCCTCAGCTATTTACCATTTACATCAATGATCTGGACGAGGACATTGAATGTAATGTGTCTAAATTCGCGGATGATACTAAACTCGGCAGCAGAGTGAGCTCTCAGGATGATGCAAAAAGATTGCAACGGGATATGGATAGGCGTGGGGAGTGGGCAAGTAGGTGGCAGATGGAATTCAATGTTAGCAACTGTGAAATTGTTCACCTTGGTAGCAAGAATAAAAGAACAGATTATTTTCTGGAAGGGGAGAAGTTAGATAGAGTTAGTATTCAAAGGGATTTGGGTGTCCTTGTACACCAGTCCCAAAAAGTTAGTTTGCAGGTGCAGCAGCAACTAAGAAGGCGAACGGCAGTTAGCGTTCATTGCAAAAGGTTTAGAATATAAGAGTAGGGAAGTCTTGCTGCAACTGTATAGGGCTTTGGTGAGACCGCACCTCGAGTATTGTGTGCAGTTTTGGTCTCCTTATTTAAAAAAGGACATACTTGCCCTCGAGGGGGTGCAGCGTAGATTCACTCGGTTAGTTCCTGGGATGAGGGGACTGACCTATGAGGATAGGCTGAATAAACTGGGGCTGTATTCTCTAGAGTACAGAAGAATTAGGGGGGATCTTATTGAAACTTATAAGATTCTTAAAGGGCTTAAAGTAGACACAGAGGGTCTGTTTCCCCGTTAGGAGAATCTATAACAAGGGGTCACAGTCTTAAAATTAAGGGTCAGCCTCTTGGAACAGAGTTGAGGAAACATTTCTTCACTCAGAGGGTAGTGAACTTATGGAATTCACTACCCCAGAAGGCTGTAGATGCTCAGTCCTTGAACATTTTCAAGGCTGAGACTGATAGATTCTTCAAAAATAGAGGGATTAGGGGATATGGGGATAGGGCAGGTAATCAGAGTTAGGTGAGAAGATTAGCCATGATCTTATTGAATGGCGGAGCAGGCACGAAGGGCCGAATGGCCTACTCCTGCTCCTAATTCTTATGTTCTTATGATTTTGAAGACCTCTATTAGGTCCTCACAACCGTCTCTGCTCCAATGAGAATAATCCTAGTGTGGATGGAGCCTGACATGGGAGAGAACATGGGCTGCAAAGTTCTAGATGATCTGTAGCCTACGGAAGGAGGAGTTGGGGAGGCTGACAAGCAGGGAGTTTGCGTGGTCAAGCCTGGATTGTATGAATGCGTGTATGAGGGTCTCGGGGGGCCGCAGTGTGAGGCAGTGGTGGAGCCGGGCAATATTACCGAGGTGGGGGAAGGCAAAGTGAGTCATGGCACAGATGTGGGATGGAAATGATAGTTGAGGGTCAAACAAGACACCAAGGTTCTGGACCGGCTCAATGAGGTGAAGTGAAACAGAAGAAAGATAAACAGCCTATCTTTTAAAATAGACAATGAAAGAGACTGTAAAATGAAAGAGACCCCAAAAGACCTTGGGGTCTGGTTTGACCCTCAACTATCCTTTCTATTCCACATCTGCGCCATAACCCGCTCTGCCTTCCCCCATCTCTGCAACATCTCCCGGCTCCACCACTGTCTCCCCCTGTAGGGCGCCAAAACCCTCATACATGACTTCATTACATTGAGGCTTGACTATGCAAACTCATTGCTTGTCGGCCTCCCCAACTCCTCCCTCCACAGGCTGCAGATCATCCAGAACTCTGCAGCCCGTGTCCTCTCCCACACCAGGCTCCACAACCCTATCACCCCCATCCTCGCCCAACTCCAATGGCTTCCCATCACATAGAGGATACAGTTCAAGATCCTGGTCCTCACCTTCGAAGCCCTCCAAGGTCTTGCTCTCTCCTACCTCTGTGACCTCCTAACCCGCTACCATCCTGTTCACTCACTCCACTCAGTGGGCTCTGGCCTGCTTCACATCCCCTGCCTCACTCGCCCCACTCTTGGTGGGCGGGCCTTCTGCCACTCTGCCCCCACTCTCTGGAACTCCATCCCGCAGTTCGTCCGCCTCTCCCCCTCCCTTGCCACCTTTAAGCCCCATCTCAAGGCCCTCCTCTTCGACCGTGCTTTCGATCTCCCTGCTTCGCCCCCGTCCGCCACCCTCCCCGATCCCAACCCCAAGCTTGAGACTGTTACTCTGTCCAGTGCCTTGGGACATCCTCCTGACGTGAAAGGCGCTATACATGTAATTTTGTTGTTGTTGAGATGGCAAGCAGGGTTGGAATAATTGAATAATTATGCAAGATTCGTCCCTCCAGCGTTAGAGTATCCTCCTTAGGGGAAGTAAGCAGTTCTCCTTGGAGCTGAACATGCTCCAAGGTAACATGCTTGCCAATGGAATATTGGAATTAAGCCAACCCTCTGTGGCATAAGCATTCTGGGATGCTAACTCGCGTGAAGGGGCTATATAAATTCAAATTATTGTTGTTGTAGTGCAGTTCTTGAGCCAGACGGGTCCGCAGTATTCTCAGCCAAAGCTGATGACAGCCCAGCCAGCCTGGTTCATCGACAGGACCTGGAAGGACAAACCAGTCAACACACTCAGCCCCTATTAACCCTGCAAGCCAAAGTCCTAACGGCTAGGAGGATAGTATAAACTATGAAAAAATATGCCACACCGCCACGTAAAAACAACACTTCCCACCAGGTGCCACCAGAGGATGTTTTACCGGGCAAGGGGTTGAGGGCCGGATGTGGCCCGCGGGCCGCCAGCAGCACAAGCTACAAAATATGGAACGCTTCACGAATTTGCGTGTCATCCTTGCGCAGGGGCCATGCTAATCTTCTCTGTATCGTTCCAATTTTAGTATATGTGCTGCCGAAGCGAGCACAGCCTGACAGGGCGGCCCACAGCTATTTATACCCTCCACACGGCCCACACTGCACGGTCACCGTGCATGCCGTCTCCTGTCGGTGTCACGGTGGGAGTCCGTGTTCGCCGCCCAACGCCGTGTTTGTGAACCCTCCGGTTCATTCTTCTCCGGTTCTTCATTTTTGATGTTTTTATATGAAAATTCATGTGTTTAACGCGAATGGGATTGTGGGGCCCTCTATGCAGATGAGCCGCTGTGACGCACTGGGAGAGGGTTCAAGCCTCATGTTGGATTTTGGGTGGCCAGGGCGCAGGCGCAGTGGGAGCAGGGCCAGGGCGCAGGCGCAGTGGGAGCAGGACCAGGGCGCAGGCGCAGTGGGAGCAGGGCCAGGGCGCAGGCGCAGTGGGAGCAGGGCCAGGGGCAGGCGGGAGGGTAAACATGGACGTGGCCTATGTGTGTGACTGGGAGAAGCGGCCGAAGAGTAATTACTGCCCCAGTGTGTCGCTGGTGTGCGCCTGGTCCTGCAGAAACCTGGTGGCCTTCACCACCGACCTGAGGAATGAGGAGGAGCGAGGTGAGCGGGTCACTGAGCCTCACTGCACAGTCAGCAGTCCTTCCAGCAGCATTGTCTACAAACTCAGTCACTACACTTGACAGCGGTCGCCTGCCACGCGCTGTCAGTCAGTTTGATGTTAATGACACTCTATGGGGTGTAAGAAGTATTCCTGTTGTTTTCCCGTTTCCCCCAAATTAATTGTTGCGTCGTGACGGCTTCTCCTGAACCTCTGCGCCTCGGAACCTGTGCTCTGCTCCGTCATCAGCCAATATCTCCTCAATTGGAATTAAACAACAACAACATTACATTTACACAACGCCTTTCCCGTCGGGAGGACGTCCCAAGGCGCAGAGGATGATCTGCAGCCTATGGAGGGAGGAGTTGGAGAGGCTGACAAGCAGGGTTTGAGAGCCTGGACGTTATGAATGGGTGTATGAAGGCTATAATAATGCTTGATTTGATGTGGTGCCTTATACCATTAAAACCAAACAAGCACTTCACAGCTGTCCTTCTGATGAGGCATTAAACCGGGGCCCCGTCTGTCTGTTCAGGTGGATGTTAAAGTTTCTCTATCCCGATGTCCTGGTCAACAATCCCCCAAATAAAATTGGTCACTCACTCCATGGCTGTTTGTGGGACACTGCTGTGTGTAACTGGCTGCTGCATTTCACCCACCAAATACACAGTCAGTACACTTTACAGAACATCCATGAAGCGCTTTGAGTGCAATGATGTGATAAGGCATTATATAAAATGCAAGGATTATTATTATTTTACTGTAGTTAAGCGTAGTGACTGTATTTGTAGGGAAAATAAAAGTTATAATGTTCAAAATTACTTTAAATTCATATTTGGAAATGTCTATCAAAATGCTTCACCTTGGTGATTTGGTCAGCCTGGTTGCACTCTTGCCTTTGAGTCAGAAGGTTGTGGTTTCAAGCCCTACATTGGGAATTTGAACTCATATAGTCTTAAAATGACATTTCAAATGCCCTGGGGGAGTGTCGCATTATTGAAGATATCATTCCTCGGATGAGACGTTAGACTGAGTTCCTGTCTGCATGATGAGTTTGATGCTAAAGATTTTATGGCACTGCTGCATTTGAAAAGAGAAGGGAGTTTCCTTTGGTGTTCTGGCAATTTTTATCAAATTTCAAGGATTATTATAATTGAAGTATTTAATATGAACTTTTTAACTTTTTTTATAAGAGTTCTATTGGAATCTTTAAGAATTTGTTCTGCGTTTCTGTTTTGTCGGGAAATTATTCTTGTAAATTTTTACTCAATCTCGTTGTGAAATTGGCCAGTGAATCTTTTTTCTCAAACTCTTTCTTCTTGCTACAGATCTCACTTACATGATTCACATCTTGGACACGGAGCACCCCTGGGATGTTTATTCCATAAACTCAGGTCACCACGAGGTTATTACCTGCCTGGAATGGGACCAGTCTGGTAAGAGCTGAAACCAAGTCATAACAAGCTGAGGACAGAGGGATGGATTAATTTGTGCTTGGGCATAAAGTGTACATTTGCAGGAGAACATCTGAATAAGAGGCAAAATTTCAGGATTCCTCTCCTGTCTCCCATCAGTTAACATTTATTTATTTCAACTTTCAGCAAGAGCGTCCCATATCATCATAATTCTGTGTCAAGCAATGCATCCTGACCTCAGTTCTAACTGACTTGGTTCTGATTTTAAGGCTCTGCCATTGTTATAATCCCTCAAGCAGAGGGAAGAGTCAATTCCCTTATTTTAAATACCTCAATCGTATCACCCCTCCTCCTCTCACAGTCTGCCCAGCCTCTCATCATAGTGTATTTAACATGTGGACATGCTAAACATACATGTCTACAGGTGGAAGTCAAAACATGCCCAATTTTACGATTTTCTTAAAAGTTCGCCCTTTTATCTTTTCAAATTTTTTCTGAGTGTATAAACTAGGCAGAAACAATTTGAAAGAATGAATATGAAAATTGTTTATATTTTATTTCTAACCCTGCTTTCTCACCAGGTTCTCGCCTGCTGTCGGCTGACGCTGATGGGCAGGTCAGGTGTTGGAGTATGACCGATCACCTGGTGAACAGCTGGGACTGTACAACAGGAAGTTCTGTGGATGGAGACCCGATCGTAGCCTTGTCCTGGCTACACAATGGCGTCAAATTGGCTTTACACGTTGAAAAGGTTGGTGTAAAATATCAGCTTGTTTATAACAATCTGCCCAATGTTATAATTGATATAGAATTCACAGTCTAGTGTCATTCTAGTGCAAAACTGGGGAAAGTGTTGCATTAGCTGTTTGTGGGGCTTTGCTGTGTCTGAATAGTTCAGTGTTGCCTATAAAACATCATTAATCCTACCCATACCCCACCCCTCCGTCACGTTTGAGTCCTGTTCAGCGCCTTGGGATGTCCTCCCGGCGTGAAAGACGCTCTATAAATGTAATTTTGTTGTTGTTGTTAATCATCTCTAATGGTGAGTCAATAGAATTGCATCTTGCAGCCAAGAGCTTGACCAGGTCTCAGTCGGGGCAGCATGGGGAAGCTCATTTGGCCCAACCTTCCCAGGGTTAGGATTGAGAAACCAGTCAGGATTCCTACTCCTGCATGTGTGACAGCCAGGTGGGGAGAGGTCAGCTCGGCTATGATGCCCTCTACAGTCGAGTGACCCGCTGGCACTCACTCACGAGGCTCCCATGTGAATAATTGTCACTTTGGCAGGGGTCGGGGGGGCAACCAGAGTCTGTGAACCCTACCCCAGCACAAGGAAGCCAGTGCGGAGGCAGAGAGGTAAAAGGCAACAACAATAATTTGTATTTATATCGCGCCCCTCACGCAGGGGAGCGTCAGGGTAAATGCCTAGAAAATTAGAAAAATTATTTGCCTTGTGAAGCACTGCCATGTTATGACATAAGATGCTATAAAAAGGTTTTCTGTCTCTTTCTGCTGCAGAAAGAACGTCTTTGTACGTATCATAGAATCATAGAATTATACAGCACAGAAGGAGGCCATTCGGCCCATCATGTCTGTGCCGGCTCTTTGAAAAGAGCTTCCGAAATCAATCCCACTCCCCCACTCTTGCTGCAGCTCTGCAAACTTGTCCTCCCCAAATAATTATCTACTTCTTTCTTAAAAGTTGTTATTGAATCGGCTTCCACCAGCCTTTCAGGCAATTCATTCCAGATCCCAACAACTCGCTGTGTGAAAACATTTCTCCTCCCCTCCGCTCTGTTTCCTTTAATAACTATTTTAAATCAGTGTCCTCGGGTTACCGACCCACCCGTCAGTGAGAATAGTTTCTCCTTGTTCACCTATCGAATCCCCTCATAATTTTGAAAACTTCCATTAAGTCTCCTCTTAACCTTCTCTGCTCCAAGGAGAATAACCCTCACTTCTCTCGCCTCTCCTGATCACTGAAGTCTTCTTCAGGGGTGACTTCTCCTCCACCCCCCGCACTGTCTCGTGCGGTGTCCCTCAGGGCTCTGTCCTCGGTCCCCTCCTCTTCACCCTCTATACGCTCCCCCTGTGGTGACATCATCCGCAGACATGGAGTTAACTTCCACATGTATGCGGATGACATCCAACTCTACCTTTCCTCCTCTACTCTCAACTCCACGACCACCGATGTCCTGACAGCCTGCCTGTCCGACATCGAGTCCTGGACGAGAGACAACTTTCTTCAGCTCAACGTGCGAAAAACCGAGGCCCTCCTGATTGGCTCACGTCAGCGCCTCCGCACCTCAGGCACCGACACCATCAGCATCCAAGGCTGCACTCTCCACCTCTCAAAGCCAGTTAGGAACCTCGGCGTTTTGTTCGACCCTGAGCTGTCCTTTCTCCCTCACATCCGCACCACAACTGGCACCGCCTTCCATCACCTCCGGAACATCGCCAGACTACGGCATTACCTCACCCCTCACGCGGCTGAAACCCTGGTTCACGCTTTTGTCACCTCAAGGCTGGACTATGGGAACTCTCCCCTCGCCGGCCTTCCCGCCACCTCCCTCCACACTGCAGGTCATTCAGAACTCTGCAGCTCGTGTACTATCCCGCACCAGGCTTCGGGACCACATCACTCCCACCCTCGCTCGCCTCCACTGGCTCCCCATCCCCCAGAGGATTGATTTCAAGATCCTCATCCTCACCTACAAGGCCATTCACGGCCTCACTCCCTCCTACCTCTCCAATCTACTATCCCCCTACCTACCTGCCCGTACCCTCCGTTCCTCCGGCTCCGGTCTGCTCCACGTCCCCCGCCCCAATCGCCCTACCATCGGTGGTCGGGCCTTCAGCCTCTCAGCCCCTAGGCTCTGGAACTCTATCCCCCAGTGCCTTCGCCACCTCCTCCCTTTCCTCCTTCAAGGCCGGTCTCAAAACCTTTCTCTTTGACCGAGCCTTCAGCTCCCCTCTCGACTCTCTTCCCCCTCCTCGCTCCCTCCCTTCCCTCCCCTCACCCTGACCCATTTCCCCCCTCCTCGCTCCCTCCCTTCCCTCCCCTCACCCTGACCATTTTCCCCCCTGCTCGGGTCATGACCCAACTGTGCAGCGCCTTGGGACGTCCTCCTGACGTGAAAGGCGCTTTATAAATGGAATCTTGTTGTTGTTGTTGTTGAAGTCCCTCATTCCTGGTACCATCCTGGTAAATCTTTGCACTCTCTCCAATGCCTTGATATCCTTCCTAAAGCATGGGGCCCAGAACTGAACACAGTCTCTAGCTGAGGCCTCACCAGTGTCTTATATAAAGGTTTATCATAACTTCCTGACTTTTGTATTCTGTGCCCCTATTTATGAAGCCTAGTATCCCTTATGCTTTTTAACAGCTTTATCTATCGTAACCGCTGCTCCTTGTTCTGAGAACGTCCCTGTTCAGTGTGTCACACACTGCAGGCATCTCTGTTGGATATTAGATGTAGGGATCTCTTGTATAATTTCAACAGAAGCTGTTTGAAATAGATGTGAACAGTAAAACTTGTCTCTTTTCCTAACTCTGTCAGGCTGGAGCCTCTAACTTTGGTGAGAAGTTTTCGCGGGTGAAGTTCTCTCCGTCTCTGACGCTGTTTGGGGGGAAGCCGATGGAGGGCTGGATCGCGGTGACCGTCAGTGGGCTAGTCACCGTCTCGTTGCTTAAACCCAACCGGCAGCTTCTCACGGCCATCGAGAGCCTCTCCCGCCTGCGCAGTCGCGTCTCTGTCGCCGACATTGCCTTCACCGGTGGCGGCAACATTGTGGTGAGCACATCTGATGGCAGCAGCGCCTCGCCCGTGCAGTTCTACAAGGTGTGTGTGAGTGTGGTCAACGAGAAGTGCAAGATCGACACCGAGCTGCTCCCCTCGCTCTTCATGCGTTGCACGACAGACACGGCTCGGAAGGAGAAGTACCCAGCAGTCACACACCTCAAGTTCCTGACCCGAGAAACCTCTGAACAGGTAAACACGTCTTCTCCTCACAACACTGACTGAGCTGCTGCTCGGATTCAGGTCTCTTCCTGCCCATCCAGGTCTCTTGAGGGCATTACACCCTGCCTGGAATCTGGTCTCTATTCACTGGCACCGTCCCTCATCCATTACCTCATCCCAAAGGCCTTTCTAGTCCAGCCTTGTCTTGGCATCGTCTGAACTTCATGCACACACACCTACTTTCCAGCTCTGGTGACTTGATGGTGATCAGAAAGGGAATCCTGGATGATTTTTCATGTTCCTAGCTGGGTGTTATTCAAGCCAATTACCAGCCCCCCACACACACCCCCTACTCCTGGTCTGGTTCAGATCAGTAACTCAGTAAATCCCATCTGGTACCCATGGTGTCCTACAGTGGCTTGTGCCAGTGTGAGGGCAAAGACTTGTTGCCTGTAGCTCATATCTGTGGTTCATGTGTACAGTTTGGTTCTAAAGGCTTGGCCTGGCTGCATCATAGGATAAACAGGAGCTGTGGTTTTCTCCTCGCAGGTCCTGCTCTGTGCGTCCAGTCTGACTGGCAGCATTGTCGAATGTTGGTCGTTGCGTAAAGAGGGTTTGCCAGTCAATAACATCTTCCAGCCGATTTCCCCTGTGGGTAAGTGCTGAGGTCCTCTCTGTAAACCGCTCCCAGCTAAAGTCACAGCGTTCATTAATCTGTGATTGTCCGTAGCCAGGGAGGGAGAGGCTGCAGTCAATCATTTACATGTTCATCGTTTCACTCTTGTTAATTCAAGGTTTCAGGCAGCAATAATCTGAATTTATAAAGCATTTGCTGAACTACTAAAATAATAATCCTTGCATTTGATATCACGTCCCAAAGCGCTTCACAGAGTATACTGTAAAGTGAATTGACTATATTTTGTGGTACATCTTGGTATAAACTAAGAAATGTAAACTAACGTGGGGCTGGAGAAGGAATGCTTTGTGTTATAGCCAGGCTGGAACAATGGCACTCTGCTGTACTCGAGGTGATGTTTGTACCTTTGCTGCCGTATATTTATAATCACTGTCCATAGGTATCTGATGCCTCAAATTTAACCTCGTCTTGGACTGTTTGTCTTAAAATTTATGATTAATAATCCTTGAATGTAATAGAATGCTTTGTTACGTCATTGAAAATCAACTTTGAAATTCAGACTGAATTTAAGTTTTTTTTACGATTCTGCACGATTTAAAATTTTAAGAGGAAAACAGTCTTCAGGCTAAGACTGGGTGGAATTTCTGACCTCTGGTCTGTGATCTATGTAGGATTTTGTTGCCATGTCACTTTCTTTTTTGTTCAGGGGATAAGCAGCCGAGTATCCTGAAGTGGAGGATTCTGTCTGCAACCAACGACTTGGACCGTGTGACAGCCGTGGGGTTACCTAAGCTTCCCATCTCTCTGACTAGCACTGACCTGAAAGTGGCCACAGACACCAAGTTTTTCCCCGGTTTAGGTCAGTGCTGTGCTCTCGGGTATTAATAACACTATCCCGGTAAAGGGGATTGTTAAACTCTTACAAGGGAGGACGTTGCTCTCTGCCTAAGTGTGTTGAAAATATAAACCGCTTAGTGTGGGCAGGAGACCTCTCTCTCTATGCTGGACATTACAGGCCGGGGATATGTGAGTCTGTACAGCTCAGGTTTTACCAGCTGATGTGTCGGGGGGGAGTGGGGACTTGCAGTGTCTCTGATTAGAGTACGACTTTCCCCCCAGGCCTTGCTCTTGCTTTTCACGACGGCAGCATCCACATTGTGCACAGACTGTCCCTACAGACTATGGGGGTTTTCTACAACACCTCGTCCCAGAGAGCCTCGGATGAACAGAGCATTAAGCGACAGCGCACCACTGCCTCCTCTGTTCACTTTAAGGCACTGCAGCTCTCCTGGACCTCACTGGCACTCGTGGGAATCGACAACCACGGGAAGGTAAGAACTGATGGGAGAGGGAATCCTCTGCAGATATTTCAGCGGCAGAGTATATGTGGCGGTGATCTCTGACAGACGCTGAGCAAGGAGGAGATTCAGCCCCTCCGGCTCACTCCTCCCCCCAGAGCGATCTTCTCTCATCCCGCTCTTTCCCCAAAACCTTTTATGTAGTGCAGATGAGCTGCTGTTTCCGGAAGGTGTCCGGTCCACGGCCACGTGGTCAGTGTGTGGCGCAGCCAATGGGAGCCGTTCCTGCACTTAAAGGGGAAGGGATTGGTTTGGGATGTGTTATCTGTTCAGAGTAGTTTCAATGAAAGGGAAAGCTCAGCCCTGACTGTAAAACCATAATAATAGTAATAATAAACATGTGGAGTAAGGAAACTTGCCCAGGGTTTCGCCCTCTGCCTGGAATTGAACTCAGGTCTCTCACTTGCAAAGCGAGTGCTCTAACCATTGAGCTGCAGGACTCCACGTGGGGTATAATTTGTGGGTTAAATGCAATAGCCATTTGCGCACAGCAATATCCGACACAGTCGTCAAGTGAGCGACCAGTTTTATTTGGAGGATTGTTGGTCAGGAAACCAGGAGAAACTTTATTCTTTTTTCAAATAATGCCATGGGATCTTCAACGTCCACCTGGACGGCAGACAGGACCTCGGTCTTATCTGAATGACGGGGAGTTCCCGTTATTTCGTCCCTTTAATTTTTAAAGAACTTTTAAATAACTTTCCATTTGTCCCTGAGACTAAAACCATCTCTTAGTTTGGATTCCTAATTGTTCATACTTGGTTGAATCTCGTTCCTATGTTTAATCTCAAACTCTGCCGCCCACATACGCACCCAGACTAAACTCCGTACCCTCATCACACCAGTACTAGCCAGGCTCGACTGGCTCCTCACAATTGTCTTCAAATTCCTTCATGCTCTGGCACCTCCCTACCTCTCTGACCCGCTTACTCCCCAACCCACTAACTGCTGCCTCCGCTCGACTGGCTCCAGCCTTCTGCTTGTCCCTTGTGCCCTCCGTTCTACTATTGGTGGCCGCGCTTTCAGTGACTACACCTTGAATCTCTGGAATTCTCTCCCTCAATCCCTCCGTCTTGCCCCATCTTCAGGCCTGAAGATCTACCTCTTCAACGGTGCTTACGGTCATGTTCCCCCCTCCCCCCCCCCCCACCCCGGCTCAGCATCGTGCTCCACCGCTGCTTTGCGTGAAGGGCAATGCATATATGTTGGATATAAATGTTGCTGTTATTGTCTTGGGATGCTGATGCCTGTCACTTCTCCCATGTGGTGAAATGTACAAGTGGTTCCATTTCACATTCTTTCTGTTAAATTCTCTTGTGAGCTGCTCCACTCCTCTTTGCAAGATGTGTTTATAAACCACTATGGCCTCCTGATGGTTTGAAGTCGGATTCATCTGGTTCTTGTTCCTCACCAGCTCAGTATGCTGCGCATCTCCCCGTCCATGGGCCACACGCTGGACATCAACACCTCCCTGCGACACCTGCTCTTCCTGCTGGAGTACTGCATGGTGACCGGCTACGATTGGTGGGACATCCTGCTGCATGTGCAGCCCAACATGGTGCAGAATCTGATGGAGAAGCTGCACGAGGAATACACGCGGCAGAACCAGGCGCTGCAGCAGGTGAGGTACTGCTCCTGCCCTACAGAGGGCAGCACTACCAAGCCTGACCTCTCCCCATCCGGGTACCACAGTGTACACTGCCAGGAGAGGGCGCCGGAGAGGGACCAGTAACAGGAAGCCTGACTGACTGTTATCCCCCTCTCTAACCCTGGGAAGGCTGGAGCAAACTCAGCACGGATTCAAACCAGCGAGCTCCATCCACCACACTCAGAGCTGCCCCTAAATCTCTATTGCTAATGCTATAAGTGATAAAGGATTCTGCTCAGCTCTGTTTTGCTGTTTTGCTGTCACAGGCAGAATATTAATACAACAACTTCAACAACAACTTGCATTTATGTAGCTCCCCTCACACAGGTACTAGTGCGCTTACTATATAATCTTTATAATTTTATATAGTATATATATAAATAAATATGCTATATATAATCGCATTCAGTGAGATGAGGAATGGCGTGAGCTGCAGTAACTCACCCTGAAATGTCTTTCCTCCCATCACCCAGGTGCTATCCACTCGCATTGTGGCCATGAAAGCCTCTCTCTGTAAGCTCTCGCCCAACACCCTGGCCCGGGCCTGTGACTTCCACGCGAAGCTGCTGCTTATCGCAATCAGCTCCACCCTGAAATCCCTCCTCCGTCCACACTTGCTCAACACACCAGACAAAAGCCCCGGAGAGAGACTGAGCGAGATCTGTGCCAAAAACACAGACACAGGTAAGTGTCTCTGTCCAGGAGCCAGCAGTGCAGGAGACTGTGTTGCCTCACCATCATTTCCTTTACTTAGCTATTTACTACTGCCTCTTTTGAACTGAGCAGTTCCTTGCTGAGCTCCAGTACTCCGCAGCTAACTCTTACGTTGCACCTCTTGCTCTGTGCAGGATGCGATTGACATCTTCCTATGCTGGCTATGAGAGCAATTCTGTGCAACTAGGCAGAGGAGACCAGCAAACACTGACAGCAAGTGCTTATCAGGACTTATATTTGCTGTCATTGGTGGCTGTTGAGTACCCTCTCTTCCCAGTGGTGCCCTGATCCCAGTGCTATTGTGTAGTGACTGTGATGTGTGTATATAGATGGAGGACTGAGTGCAGTAAATTCAAGTGTTTTGATTTTTTTTCCCAGATATTGATAAAGTGATGATAAATTTAAAGACTGAAGAGTTTGTGCTGGACGCTTGGGTGTTACAGTCATTGCAGCAACTCATACAATGGGTCGGGGACTTTGTGCTGTACCTGCTCGCGAGCCTCCCCAACCAGGTCAGTCAGTGTCTCTGTGCAAGCCCTCATCCTCTCTTTCCCGCATCCCCCTAACCTGATCTGTCGCTGAGCTCCCTGCAATCAGAGTTGACTTCACAGTGGGCACATCTATTTGCCAAAGCTCCTCAGACATGGATAAGGATCCACTTTGATTGGAATGTAGAGAGGCAGAGAGACAAGCTGCTCAAACTCCACACCTCAACTGGTGGAACCATCGCTCAATGGAAAAGGATGTGTGCCCGAGCTGTGGACAGGAAGATAGTGGCAACGCTCTCATGCATTTCATGCTGAGCTATGCTGCTTACCAGCTTGGAGGCAGTTCCTGGTACCTGCTATCCTTTGAGTGAGGTCTTAAACCTGTACTTTTCAGGTATCTAATGCTTGACTAGTGACTATCCTCCTGTGGGGGATGTGAAAGGGGGCTCCTCAGGGCTGCAGTGGCTGCCTGGCAAAGGAATATGGTATTTAAGTCTACCCTCTGTGACAATCCCTAGTCCGGTTCCTGAGCCAGTTGGGTCTGCAGAACTCGTGATTTTGTGGCCAGTCTAGCTGGCCCAGCCCAGCCTAGCTTTGCACAGATTCTTCCCATTCAGCTCCTGTTCACACTGGAAGCCAAAGTCTTAAAGAGAAGGGTGGTCCTAGGGGGATAAGCAACCAGACTTCTGGCAGATATTGCTCTCAATGGCAAGCTAAGTGTTTTAGCTGATTAAACTCTGGGTCCACACGCCTTAGCTTTTGCCCAATGCTCCCTGGGCAGAGTGCATTCCATTCCTGATATTGGGACATAAATATGTGGAACTCTGTCTGGTTTGGAGACTTATAATCACGATGATGGATTTCTGCATGTGTCTATCCCTGTCAGTGTGTGTGTGTGTGTGCTCAAAGGAGATCTGTAACTACCTGCTGTTCCGGATTGGCCTCTTTCAGGGCTCTCCTGTCCGCCCAGGCTTCAGCTTCCTCAGAGATGGGACTTCGCTGGGAATGCTCAGAGAACTGATGGTGGTGATTCGGATATGGGGTCTCCTGAAGCCTGGTTGTCTGCCAATCTACACAGCTACCTCAGACACCCAGGATAGCATGTCCCTGCTCTTCCGATTATTAACTAAGCTCTGGCTGTGCTGTAAGTTTACGTTTGTTGAATGGTTCAGGTCTTATCTCACACACCGCCTCCAATTTGTCTCCGCCAATAGTTTATTTTCCAGTCCCTGCACAGTCTCGTGTGGTGTTCCTCAGGGCTCTGTCCTCGGTCCCCTCCTCTTCAACTTCTACATGCTCCCCCTTGGTGACTTCATCTGCAGACACAGGGTCAACACACACTTGTACATGAATGACACCCAACTCCATCTCTCTGCCTCTCCCCCTCGATTCCAGGACAACTGACATCCTGACAGACTGTCTGTCTGACATCAAGTCCTGGATGAGAAGCAACTTTCTACAGATGAATGTCAGTAAGACTGAGGCCCTCCTGATTGGCTCACGCCAGAACCTCAGGCACTGGCAGCATCAGCATCCACGGTTGCCCACTCCACCTCACCAAGCCAGTTAGGGATCTGGGTATCTTATTCGACCCTCAACTGTCCTTCCTCTCCAATATCTGTGCCATGACCCTCTCTGCCTTCCCCAACCTCTGCAACATTGCCCGACTCTGCCACTGCCTCACCCCTCAGGCCATTGAAACCCTCATGCACGCATTCGTAACCTCAAGGCCCGACTGCAGAAACTCCCTCCTTGTCAGTCTCCCCAACTCTTCCCTCTACAAGGTGCATCTGTCCACCTGAACAGACAGACGGGGCCTCGGTTTAAGGTCTTATCAGAAGGACAGGTTGATAGATTTCAACTGTTGATAAGGCACTACATCAAATCAAGCATTATTAAAGCTTTCAAACACGCATTCATAACGTCCAGGCTCGACTATGCAAACTCCCTTTTTGTCGGCCTCCCCAACTCTTCCCTCCTCAAGCTGCAGATCATCCAGAACTCTGCAGCTTGTGTCCTCTCCCGCACCAGGCTCCATGATCCCATTCCCCCCACCTTCACCCAGCTTCACTGGCTCCCCGTCCCTCAGAAGATAGAATTCAAAATTCTCATCCTCACTTTCAAGGCCCTCCTATATCTCTGACCTGCTGACCCCCTATCAATCTGTCCGCTCTGCTCGCTCAGCAGGCTCCGGCCTTGCTCCAGATTTCACGCCTGACCCACCCTACCATTGGAGGCTGGGTTTTCAGCCTCTCTTCCCCCATCCTCTGGAACTCCATCCCACAATCCCTTCGCCTCACTCCCTCTCTTGCCTCCTTCAAGACTCAAGACCCTCCTTTTCAACTGTGCCTTCAGCCGCCCTTCTTCCTCCTCTGCTCTCCTTCATTCCAACCCTGCCCCCCCACGCTTGGGTCCTGATTCCTGACTGTTCAGCACATTGGTAGTTCTAATGTGAACGGAGCTTTACAAATGTACCTTTGTTGTTGTTCAATCCTCTGTGTTTCTGATGGGGAGGTGGGGTGCTCTTGGCAAAGGCTAAGAGGTAAGGGCAGTTCTCTTTGTGATTTTCCCCTTAGATTTCCTCCTTTATCAGGTAAACTTTTGTGTTCTATATTAATCCCCAAATCAGTCAATCTTGATTAACTTGTGGGTATCCCTTTGATGCTCTGCTTGATTGATGTTCAGGGGCTGACTGTAGGCTCTGATCTGCAGGAAACGTTTGCGTTGCAGTCCTAAAACAGACAATGATCGCTGTGTTTCTGTGTTAATTACAGTCCAGCTATAATCATGACTAAAAATGAAACCTGATCTGGCTGCTCGAGAATGAACCAACAGTGCATTCATGCATTCGTTTATGAAACACTCCATATCTTCTCTGTAAAGGCATTTTAAATGTGCCTGAGCATAGTGCTGTGTGAGGGTCCTCTCGCTTCGAGTCCTGAATTAGAATCTGGTGAGATGTGTGTGGGAATGATTAGGATTGATGGCTTCACTGAAGGTGCAAATACTGATCTGGCTGCAACAATGGGATGGCCTCTTGTGAGGTAGATTTCTATGGTTTGATGGAAACTGCTCTATATGTCGTTTGGTTGTGAGGGCGATCAGTTTTCACAGATCAGACCTGACCTCAGGCTGGCACCCGGCTGTTATCCACCTCATTCTGTAGAACTCCAACAACCATTGACAGTAATTTGGAATTATGACATCAAATGAGTTTAGAGACTTGGAAATGGAGCTTAACCACCCCAGCATTGTTCTGCTTTGAATTTTTCAAAATTATTGCTTTGGTTGTGACATTTCGAACAATCCAGCATTTGACCACAGAAAAGTGTATTTTCACAACTGTGAAGCGCAATTTTAGGTCAGACTCCAGCCAGTGTTTCTTTACACAACATCAGGTTAACAACAGGTTACCTGAAAAGGTGGAAGAGGCTAACATACTGGATTTATTTAAGAAGCAGTGTGACACAGTAAGGGGAGATGATCGGAGAGCTTTCAGAGGGGGCATGAGTCAAATGGACTGAAGGGCTTTGCTTATTTGGGGCAAAGATGCTCCTGGTTGTGACAATTAACCGTGAGAATTGTGTCTTTTCAGGTCGGGATGAAAACCACATGAGTGAGCCAGACGATAACCTGATTGACGAGTGCTGCCTCCTCCCCAGCCAACTCCTGGTGCCCAGCCTGGACTGGCTGCCAATCAACGATGGCATCATTAGCAAGTTACAGACCAAACAGCCGATCAAGCTGCAGTTTGGAAAGTCAGTCAGTGTTGTCAGTCACTTTGCCACATCACAGCTGGACATCTTCGCAAGGTATCAACCCCGCCCTGCCTCCTGACCCCGCCCCCGACCTGCCATGCCTCACAATCCTGCCCTATGGACAGACCTCGCCTTGATGACCAGCCCCACCCTGTCTGTCTGTCCTGCAACAAGGCCCCACCCTACCCTGCCTCCCAACTCCGCCGACAGGCCCCAACCTTCCAACTGGCTCCGTCCACCCACCAGGCCCCGCCCTGGCTCCCCGCCCTGGGACTGGTCCCACCCTGACTGCCTGTCCTGCCCCCAGACCCCGCCCTGACAGTCCACAGAACAGACTGGCCCCGGGGACCTGTGAGACAAAACATCTCGAGGCGCTTCACAGTTCCTGTTGTGTATTTTGTAGGTGACGATGCACAGTAATTTGATAGAAACTGACAGTAGTTTTAAACCCTGTAATTTACTGTGTACAGAACGACTGATAGTATTGTCCAGAAATTCTCTGCTTCTAACTTGGAGTGTGGTACACCTCTCGACGTGAAAGGTGCGATATACAAATGTATTTTGTTGTTGTTTAGGTCCCCGGGATATCAGAAAATAGACAATTTGAGACGACTTAATTTAGGTGTGTGCCCAACAGAAGAGACCAAATCCTGCACCAGGTAAACAGCACACAACAATGAGAACATTGCACAAGCATGTGTGTTTTGAGTTCTGGTGGGAGTTCAATGGCTTAGATTGATGCCTTTGTAGAAAACACAAATTAAATTGTTGCAGAGGAGATGGCAGTGGGAGGGGGGGATTTAATTTACTGGGATTCTGCCCCCACCAATGTCAAAATCCAGTGATAGAAACATCGCAGATTTATTCACGTCTGATTTCTCTCTAGCTCTCTGAGCTGGCTCACGCACACTGTTGAACAAAGTGGAGGGACTTCATTCAGGTGTGTGGAGTTGGCCTAACTTGCTAACCTAAACGGATCAATTTCAAGATCCTCACACTCGTATACAAATAACTTTATGGCCTGGCATCTCCCTACCAACCCACTCCTCTACCTGGCTGCTTCACTCAGCTGGCTGCAGCCTCATCCCCTCCACTCCACCTGTGCTTTCAGCCACTATATTCCAAGACTCTGTAATTCTGTCTCAATCTCTCCACCTTGTCCCCTTCTTGTCCATCATCAGATCACACCTGAAGATTTTCTCTTTGGCTGTGCCTACAGTCACCTTCCCCTCTTACTGCTGCCGCGTTCGCCCACAAATATACAGTCAATTCACTTTACAGTTTTCTGTGAAGCACTTTGGGTCGTTGTCCCGACGTGAAAAGCACTATATCAAATGTAAGGATTATTATTATTATTACTGGCTCAGCGTCATGCTCAGCCACTGAGAGGTGCTCGAGATGCTACCCTGTCTGAAGGGTTTTATGTAAATGCAAGTTATGGTTATTTTGAGTCTGTTTCCTGTGTTGCCTCCACTTTATATTTGGTGGGTTTGAGCCCAGTAGAGGTACTGAGTTGCAAGCTGTCCTGAGGTTAGCAGTTTGTGCATCAGATGCTGATTATGGAAACCCTTCTCTCTGTTAATCTGTTAACCAGATGTGGGTGCAATACCATGCTGAAGTCCCCAAACAAGTCCACGGCTGTGAAGCAATGGGAGCAACGCTGGATCAAGAACTGTCTGTGTGGAGGGCTGTGGCGCAAGGTGCCCGTTTGTCTGCAGTAGACGGGACAAGCCATCGGGTGAAGATGATCTTTGGGAAACTATTGAGCTGCTGGACTGAAGTGACCATGTGACTATTTATTCCAATGACACATTTTTATATTTTTCTCTCTGAGTGATTTGTTCGGCAGCCATCGGGTCTCTGGCCAAGTCCGCTTTGTAGCGGCTGAAGAATTTAATAAATTATTCTGTGGTGCAGTGGTTACAGTGAATGCAGCTGTTGTTGGAAGTTTAACAGAAGCTGCTCAGGGTTTGGATGGTTTATTTTCTAAACACATGTTTCTTCTGGCCATCATTCCATTGTCCACAGAGCCACCTTCAGCTGAAAGAGGGCATTACTCTGCTCTGCAGGACAACGCAGATCTTTTTATGTCTCTCTGCATCACTAAATCTTTCTTAAGAGCCATTCTTGGGCAGATTGCCGCGCTGTGATGTCTCACACACGGGCTCCTGATGTCACTCAGTTGCTGTAACATTGCTGTACAACTGAGCTCCTGGTGTAGAGATGATAGGAGACTTGGTCACTCGGTCGGCTACAGACGGTAACATGTTGTGAGTGATTGTTGAGAGGGTGTGACCAGCGCCAGGGAGACTCTGTTACTCCGGATTCTGGGAGTGATGATGGTTTACCTCAATGAGGTATCAGTTCAATCTTACCACCTGGGTTTGATTGGAACGTTATTCCATTTCACAGAGGACTGAATAAAAATATTTTTCCTACATCTTTTGTCTCGTGTCTTATACTCTATTTACAATAAGGGTCTATACATATATTTAGCCCCGAAACTCACGCTGAAGAACAATTGCACAAAGTGCCCAGGTGGCCATTCTTTATGTGAAGGCTGGACAGTGAGTGAGACCTTCCGTGCGTACACCTCCCTTCCCCTCTTGGAGTCGAGCTATTAAGAGCTTTGTTACGTTTCTCCACATGAAGGGTGTTGTATAAACGCAAGTGGTTGTTGAACATATCTCAGCAGGAAACAATCCTAACTTAATCTCTCCCCGATCTCGCGCAGAAAGCCCAGAAGAAATGAAGTCAGTTGTCGTCCAACTGCTTGGCACACCATTGCTGAAATAGAAACTCTTCCCCTAACCCCTAACCCACTCCGCCTGAAAAGTGTGGTCACCTGATGAGAACAGGTCAGCTGTCCTGACACTTTCATCCAGATTCAACAACCTCCAATTATATCCCTTCACTAAAGGAACGTATCAAAGAGCTTTACAGAGACGGGGTGCACCCCGAGGGGGTGAGGGAGGAGGGAGGTGACCGGTTCACAGTCAAAGAGTTAGACAGTGTTTGAAGACAGAAAAAGACAGTGTGAGACACGGTGAGGAAGGCAATTCCAGGGGATGTGGCCTGAAGGCTTGGCTGCTGATGGTGGGCACAGGATGGTGGTGGGGAACATGCAGCAGCAGAGTAGAAGAGAAGGTGGAGAAGATCCCAGAGGCAGGGAGATGCTAGAGAATGAAGGGATTAATGAGGCAGGACCTTGGAGTCGGTCTGCTGGCAGTAGAGCCTGGCGAGGAGAGGGTGATGGGCATGTGAAAGTGTTTGTGATGCCTGACGGACAGGAAGAATCTGGAATAAAGGGTAAAAGCAGCAGCTGATTTGGATGTTAACTGGAGAAGAACAAGTGGAAACTACTCCCATGTTTGTAGGTGATGTCACCAAGAGGGAGCGAGTCAATGAGAACAGTCAGGAGAGGAGGGAAAGTGGCCAGAGCTTGGGGTGGCAGGCTCCCTTGTCAGCAGCCTGGAGCCAGTTAAGATTTACTGTAAAGGGAATACAGCAGCAAAAGTGTTCCATTTTACACTCAGAACAGAACCAAGAGTTCTGATCTAAACTGATCCAATTTAAAGCTCTATTTCAATGCTGACACCAGACAGCTTCCTCGCTCTACAGTAATCTCTGTGCTTCCTGATACCATGGTTTCGCCCACAAATATACAGTGAATTCACTTTACAGCATATTCTGTAAAGCGCTTTGAGACGTTGAGAAGATGTGAAAAGTGCTATTTCAAATGCAAGGATTATTATATTATTATTTTATTATTATGGTTGAGCACCTTTAGCAATCAGTGCATCAATTGCGACTATTAAACTTCCTCTTGAATAATAATCCTCGCATTTGATATAGCGCCTTATCACGTCTTCAAGACAAAAACGCGGCAAGCAATTCAGCCAACATGAATGCATTGTGGAGTCCTGTAGCTCAGTGGTTAGACCACTCGCCTCGCAAACGGGAGACCTGGGTTTGATTCTAATAGGGCAAAACCTTGGGCAAGTTTCCTTACTCCACACGACCGACAATAATCCCTCAAGAAAAAAAATAGAACAATAATAATTTGGTCAGTCAATCCACGACTGTTTGTGGGACGCTGTTGTATGCAATTGGCTGCAGCGTTTCGCCCACAAATACAGTCAATTCACTTTACAGTGTATCCCGTGAAGTGCTTTGAGATGTTCTCGAAGACGTGATAAGGTGCTATATCAAATGCAAGGATTATTATTATAATAACGCAGGGAGCAATCGTGCTCTCAATGGGGTGAATGGCCTCCATCTGTGCTGATAATTTCTGTTTCTATGTTTAACTCAAATTGAACATAAAATTGCACTGTACCATAAAGTTAAACACATTTTAGCACAGAAAGGAGTCATACAAGGGAGACGGGGGAGGGGGTGGAGGTAAGGTGGCTGAAGGAGCAATCAAGGTGTTAGGATTCTATAGAAGGATTTTGAAAGCCGGGGCAGGGGGCGAGGCTGGGGGATGTAGCAATAGGGTTCCAGAGTGATGGCATGGAGCATGGGGCATGAAACAGGCCAGGTCTGGAGGAGCAGAGGGAGAGGCTGGGGCAAGTGGGCCAGGCCATGGAGGAGATTGCAATGGAGACAGGCCATGGAGACATTTGAGAACAAGGACCTTAAAGTCGATCCAATTGGTAGTAGGGAGCCAGTGGAACAACAACTTGTGTTTGCGGGTGATGGGATGGGGGTAATGGACCTGTGGAGCCAAATGCAGGAGAGAGTGTGTGCAACTTAGTTCTAGATGATGTAGAGTTTGTGGAGGAAGGAGCTGAGGAGGCCAGCGAGCAGAGCGTTGGAGAAATCCTGACTGGAGGTAACAAAGGCTTGGTTGGATGAGTTTGGGTGGCATTGGGGGTGAGGTTGTGGCAGTGGCAGGCCATGTTGTTGTTAGAGAATCATAGAATTATACAGCACAGAAGGAGGCCATTCGGCCCATTGTGTCTGTGACGGCTCTTTGAAAAGAGCTTCCAATTCAACCCCACTCCCCCACTCTCTCCCCATAGCTCTGCAAACTTGTTCTCCCCAAATAATTATCTACTTCGCTCTTAAAAGTTATTGAATCAGCTTCCACCAGCCTTTCAGGCAATGCATTCCAGATCCCAACAACTCACTGTGTGAAAACATTTCTCCTCCCCTCCGCTCTGTTTCTTTCAACAACTATTTTAAATCGGTGTCCTCGGGTTACCGACCCACCCGTCAGTGGGAATAGTGTCTCCTTGTTCACCCTATCGAATCTCCTCATCATTTTGAAAACTTCTATTAAGTCTCCTCTTAACCTTCTCTTCTCCAAGGAGAATAACCCTCGCTTCTCTGGCTCTCCTGATAACTGAAGTCCCTCATTCCTGGTACCATCCTGGTCAATTTGCACCCTCTCCAATGCCTTGACATCCTTCCTAAAGTGTGGGGTCCAGAACTGAACACAGTCTCGAGCTGAGGCCTCACCAGTGTTTTATATGAAGGTTTATCATAACTTCCTGACTTGTGTATTCTATGCCACTATTTATAAAGCCTGGTATCCCGTATGCTTTTTTAACAGCTTTATCTGCCTGTCCTGCCACCTTCAAAAATTTCCTTATATGAGCCCCAGGTCTCTCTGTTCCTTCACTCCCTTTAAGATTATACCATCAGCTTATAGTGCCTCTCCTCATTCTTCCTCCCAAAATAAACCACTTCACATGTCTCCACATTAAACTTCATTTGCCCAAAAGTGAAGGGTATTTTTATGACTTGATATCCTAACAGGCAGCCGAGGTCCTGGAAAGTGGAGGCTGAAAGGTAAATAGCTTCCAAATTAAGACCGAATTGAAGAATTTCCCGCAATTCTCTGTGACCTTAACTGTTTTTTACAGGTTTGGCCGTGGACATGGTTCAGAACAGACCTGGTGGTGATGCCATCTCGTTGCATCACCTCATGTTTTGCCCACAGAATATGCAGTCAATTCCCTTTACAGTATATCCTGTGAAGTGCTTTGAGACATCTTGAACTTGTCTTATGGCACTATATCAAATGCAAGGACTATTATTACTGTTATGATTATCACCTGCATCACTCACTGTGGGTTTACATGACACGAATGGTCACCAAAGTGGAAACCTTCAAGGAGGAGGAGGAGGGGTAAAATTGCCATAAAGTTAGGACATTGTCAGTGAGATGGTCACTGTAGCAGCATGAGAGAGTAAGAGTCACCACCAAATGGAGATCTGTCAGGACTGACAATGTAATAATGAAGCAGGACACTTTTGGTTACCTGGTGATCTCGTCAGCAGGTCTTCCTTACAACCCAGTATCAGGTCATGGAATCCAAGGTCTGGCTCCTCTGTTACCTCTGAGGGGTTGCTGTCCTTGACTATCGCACTGATGGTGCCGGGTGTATGAACATGATCTCCACTGGGGCAATCAGCAACTTCTTTCAAAGAATTCCACTCACTTCCTGAACACCTTGTGCCGTCCCAGCTGTTACTCTCCGCAGTGACTGAACTCGGTGAATCTGAAGAATGAAAGATTTGGGTGTCAGTATTGGAGCTGCATAGACATGTTTCCTGAGCTCTGTCAGGACAAAGTGGGCCTGTGTTTCAGGTCCCTGTCCATGTTTCAGATGGTTGACCCCAGCTCAGGTCTGAAATGCTGTACACTGTCCAGTGCTTTGGGACGTCCTCCTGACGTGAAAGGCGCTATACAAATGTAATCTTAATAATCCTTGCATTTGATATAGCGCTTTTCACGTCGGGAGGACGTCCCAAAGCGCTTCACAGAACACACTGTAAAGTGAATTGACTGTATATTTGTGGGCGAACGCAGCAGCCAATTGCACACAGCAATGTCCCACAAACAGTCGTAGATTGAAAACGACCAATTTATTATTGTTTTGTTTTGGAGGGATTATTATTAGGCTCTGTGTGGAGTAAGGAAACTTGCCCGAGGTTTCCCGCTGCCTGGAAGTGAACTCAGGTCTCTCACTTGCAAAGTGAGTGCTCTAACCACTGAGCTACAGGACTCTTGTTTTTTCTGAGCAGCATTCCCATCTTGCAACCTGTGAAGGGAAGAATACACAGAACCAGGGATAGAAAGTGGTGGAAACCCACAAACAAAGGGAGCAAGGCTAACCAACATCTCAATGGGCAATTGTTCTACATGGCATTGCTCTGAGTCATAAGTAATAGTAACAATAATCATTGCATTTAATACAGCACCTTCTCATGTTATTGAAACATCTCAAAGCTTCACAGGATATTCTGTAAAGTGGTGTGACTGTGTATTTTGTCAATGAACATGGCAGCCAATTTGTGTACAGCAATGTCCAAAATAAAGGGTAAGAAGTAGGTGACCAATTTTATCTGGGATGGTTGTTGGCTATGACACTGAGCGAAACACGCTTCTGTTTATGCATAGTGCTGCAGGATCTTTAACAGCCAG